TGTCGTTCACTGTATTAAAAAAAAAATTTTTTTTTTCTTTATGAGGAACCGAAGGAGAAATAATTGAGCTTCCTCCAGGCATGTTTTTCCCTTTTGGACGCATGGATCTTATAACCTACCATGTTTCCCTCTTGAAAGCTTTGAAATAGTAAATTCATGACCTATTAATAAGAAATATGCTGGGAATTCCACCAAATATTTTATATTCTAACTGCTCACCTGAATTTATCTTATCTTTATAATCTTATTTTTTCTATTTTCTCATTTTTTAATCCACTTATTTCAAAACAATTTTCCTCCCATTGAAAAGAATCACCTTGAATCATTTCTTTAGAAGTAGGACTTCAATAAATAAACACTGTGGAGAACAGTGGGAGAATAAGATTTAAATATGCCTGGATTCCACACCCTTCCGCCCTCTACCTTCAGTCTTTTTATAGCTGTTACTTCAAACAAGAAATTCAGGACTCTACCTAAAAGGATAATATCACTGAGTTTCACTGAGAAATAATAATGTCACCTACTATTATACAAAGTTCCAAACAACACATTAAAATAAATGACAACTTTCTGCTATATGACTACATACAAAAGACATTTTGGTCCACTATCCTAACATTTTACTTTATTATTTATATTCAGTAAATATGACGATAGTCTTCATTGCCTCACCACTAACACCTTAAATGCTTCCTACTGGGATTTCATCCTTAAAAAAAAAATCCTTAAGGCAACCAATGTCCTAAAGTTGACGAATCCAATATTTTTAAATGATCATTCTCCTTCTTTACAGTTTAATTTTAGTAATACCTCTGTCAGTCACTCCTCCATCTTGAAACTCTTTTTACCTTTGATTTTTTCCTATTATGATTACAATCATTCAGTCTTTCATTCAAAAATATTCATTGAGAAGCAACTATGTATTAAGCACCTTGCTAGATGCCAACTCTATTTATCTGCCTTATCCTTTCACGTTCTATTTAGTTTTGCCCATCATACCCAAACCTTAAATAAGAATATTTCCCAAAGTTCTTTCCCCAGTCCTCTTCTTTCTGCCTCTGCACTTTTTCCCTGGAAGATCCACTCACTGGTGACTTCCCATTTGCGTCTCCAGCAAGAATCCTACGTCCCCTTTCACGCACACCGTGCACAGCTAAATCAGAATTTGCCCTTTCTCTCCTTGAACCAGTTGCTGCTTCTGACCCCTTCGTATTGCTCTCACAATTTTCTCAGTGCCCAGGGCTTGATTCCTAAATACATTCTTTGTGTTTTGCCACACTTCTAATCAGTTGTGAAACACTTTTTCTTCTGAAACATATTTTTCTTTCCATTCTCCAGACTCGGGCCTGGCTCCTTCCCTCCACCCCTCACACCCTGATTATTGCCATGGGCCAACTAGGGCCCCCAGCCTTTGGGGGGGGGGTCCTTCTGTTTCCTCTACCAATTCATCCTGCACACCATCACCACATCAATCTTTTAAAAGCACTGTTATTCCTGCAGCACTTGACTGCTCAAAGACCTTCCATGGTTCCCCACAGTTTATATTTGGAATGTCTAAATTGATTTTTTGGCCTTTTGAGAAAACTGCCAGGCAAGTACAGAATACAGAGAAAGAAAAAATTAACGTTCATAACTTCAATTCGTTTTTCAATAAGAAATGATGAAAGGCAAAATTTCAGTCTGAGTCAGATTCATTTTTTTAAACTGCTGCTGGAAACAAGGCAAAAAGGTCCATGTTAGTGCCGTTAATTGTGGGAACTTCATCCACGGGGGTGGGGGGGTGGGGGGGGGAGGCTTTGCAGCCTTTCCGGGGATGTGTAAAGCAGAAGAAGTAGAAATCACGAGCGCAGCCTCGCAGCTCAGATCCCTTTTGGTCAGAGACAGCCTGTCCCGTTTCTGCAGCTCATTCAGGCTGCTCATCTGCCATCCCGTGCTTTCTTTTAGAGCATATTCCGTAATGATAAGGCCCCCTCTTGTCACATTCACTTGCCACATGCAATTAAGTTCACACCTCCCTTTAGACAGTTCACAACACCAGATGACTAGCTGGATACCATCCAGCTGGAAAAACACCCAGTTTGGGATGCAATAAAGGCAATCAGAGAGAGGGAAAATGGAGAAAAACAATCAGAATTTTCCTATAAATGCCTTGAAGTAACATATCTCCTGTTGTCCCCACAGTGTCTTCTCTAAAAGAAGTTCTAAGATCAGGTGAGGCTGGAAAGGGTCTTTGGTGAGCAATAAAAAGAAACTGTGTCCCACAATGCACTATAATAAGAAGGCAGAGGCTCTGTTTGTGTACTGGGTGCTATGGAGGAGGGACGGCATGTCAGCAGAAGAGCTCTTCGTGGAGATAAGCTGGGTGTGAATTCTGCCTTCCCTCAGTTGCTAACTGTGAAACCTTGGCTATGTGACAATTTCCCTGAGCCCTGGTCTTTTCATGTTCAAAGGTGGAGCTCATCATAACTTGCAGAGTTGTAGTGAGGAATAAATGAAATCAAAGTTTATTGTTTTGTTGACTTCCTAGACTTAAGAAAATGTTAATGCAGTTAAAAGTATATCGTGTGTGTAGATGTACATCATAAATAGCGCCAAAAAATTGAGGCAAAGCATATTCTTCCAGTATTCGAAAACTATCATCAGACTACCCAAAGAATTCACTCATGTCATTGAGGAACAAGTGAAGTTCCAAGGTATATCTTTCTTGTTTCACTTTGGTCTTAAATGTAAAAGAAAATAACAATGAGCATGCAGGTCAGAACTACCTTTGTTCATCAATAACATAAATTCTTTGCTAAATCAGACAGTAATAAAGCATTTATTCATAGCTGATTTTGTCAAATTATGGCTGAATTATAACCATAAAAGAGTTTGGCAAAACTCAGTGAGAGCCTTCTGGGAGAATCAATTGACTATATGAAATTTATAATAAAAGGTATTGTATATTTTATCATCATTTGTCAAAAAAAAAGTATGCTGACTATATAGTAGCTATGTTTTGTATTATTACTATACCCTAAGACAACATTCTTGTCATTGTGTTTTTATAAGAAAAACGTATATAGTTCACAAGAGAAAATTAGTGGAGAGGACTTTCTCATTTATTTGCGACAGTTGTCTTTTGTTTTTTCCTTGTTTCATGGTCTTCTGTGTGTATTTTCTTTTGAAATCTTGAGGTTCCTCTAGCTTCATTTTTATCAACAGAACTTCTTTGATGCACACCAAATTTAATAGAGTAATTCCCTCTGCACCTAACTTCAGGTGGTAGGCATAGCAAGAATGATTTATGGTTTCCTTTTCTTTAAAGTCAAAGGCAGAGGAAACTAAAAGCAGAAGTGTCTGGCTTTATCAATTTCCTGTTTTCTTCCTCCTTCATCCAAAGTGTAAAATTATCCTGGTCAGGGTGCTGACTAAACTGTGGGAAGAAAAATCATATGAGGCACCTGAGTGCCCATGTCTTTCAGTTTCAGCATGCCCTGCAGCAGTCCCTTAAGGCTTGATCTTCTAAAGATAATGGTGATCAGATGAAAAATAGGAGACCACGGACACCTCATTACATCTCAGCATAAAGCACAAGCCAATACTCATTTCTGTTTAAACAAAACGTCCATGTTGGCAAAAGGCCTTGAGGGATGGATGTACTTAGTTTAGTGCTAACCTTGACTCTGGACAAAAGAAAGAAGTAAACAAAAATATAAAGGGATCTTGGAGTCTGCTAATCTTCATTTCTCCTGCTGCAAAAGAAGGGCACTCTGAGGGCCTGTGAATGTTACTTTGCATTGAGAATGGAAAAATGAATATTTGATGTGAGCAAATACAAGTCTTTTTGTGATTTTCTCTTGCTCAAATTTAAGGCACATGAATAATGCTCAAGGAATTTTTATTATTTTCTTAGACAGGCTAGTGTTTGTGTAGGTGAAAGTACACACCACCTGAAGAAAACAATGTTCTGGCTCCTACAGATTATAAATACCAACATCTCCACCTGAGAGCATAATGGAAGAGCTTTTCAGCTACTGAAGAACGAGACTAAAAAGAGATGTTTTTCTGAGGATGACAGAGGGGAAGAGAAAAGGTATAATGCCTTGCAGTGAAAACCTAGCTCTACATTTGTCACTCATGCTTTGCATTCAGAGCTCAGGGCAGAGGAACCAATGCCTTTCCCCTTAGGAAAAATAATGATAATTACATGTAAGGATCTTCATGTCAACATCAACTCATTTTAAGATCTCAGTGCACTTTAGAAGCATTCATCAGTCAGGTCTATAAAGCACTATTTAACACACACACTTTATGTGAGAACTAATCAAGAAAGACCAGAAACAGTTTGTTAGAAGCCAAACTGAAAACTGAATTTAGGACTTTGAAACTCCTCTCGTTATTTTTACTTAAAGTAACTTCATCTTTATGATTATGACACATTCAAAATAGCCCTTAGATTCAATCTAGTTTTAATCAACCCTAGATCCATTTAGAAATATAGATTTTACATGTGCTAAACATAAGAAGGAGGTCGATAACACTTAAAAGCTAGAAGACAGTCCCCAAAAGAAGAATCTGCAGGTGAGAATAAAGTGCTAGGCTGAGGTGGGGATGGAAAAATCAGGGATTAAGGGGTTGTCTAATTCTCTGTGGCCTTTAACCCTATAATGGCAACAGGATGGATTCCTGAACCAGGCCACGTGAAGCTGACGTCTCTTTGCATCTCTTGCACAATCTATGGATCACATTTCTGGCCATTTTTTTCAGTTAATATGGCCACATTTCCATTTGGGAAAAGATCTCTGGCCTTCTGCCCATATTTAAGATCGGCAAAAGTGTCCGGAGCTTCAAAGATAAAGAGAAGTAAAAACTGACCTTTTACAGGTCTCGGTGAAAAAGGACATGCCAGAAGCAGGGCAATAAAGACAAAAATATGCTGGGTTTATTCTTTCTAATGTACAGTTCTCCTCCAAGTCAGACATTGATAAAGTCAAGTGCACCAGAAAAAGCATATTTACCTCATATTTTCCTTCCTGTGTACAGTCACATACATTTCGTAGACTCTCCCTTGGGGAATGGCCCCAGCGGGAATCAGCAAGCTTACTCCTGAATAGCAAAAGAGAAAAGCAGTCACATAAGACCTATGAATCAAAAGGGAACTTCACAGAATGCCTTTGAAGCAAGGGAAAAGGAATGAGGAGATTCTGTGGCCACATAGCCATAATCCTGCTGCTTTTTCTCTAAAGACATGTAAATATTCATACCTGCCCTGCTTTCCTTCCTTATTGGCCTTATTTGTTACCACAGCTCCCTCTGAACTGTTATGGAATTAAAGGAATGATATAATTTTTAAACTCCTGTTTTATTTAAGGAATAGACAGATGGTTTCACTGTTGTTTTCCTTGTAAAAGGAGGGGAAGACCAACAACTGCTCTTAAAATCTCAAACAGCTGTAATGATGTATCGTTTCTAATTTAAAAAAAAAAAATCCCCACAACATTCAAAGTCAGGGAAATGCTAACCTCAACAGTATCAAAAAATGTTTATTTCTGAAGTATCTGGTTAGCACCAGTGTTTTCCTGCAACAGAATAATAATTGGTGAAGAACTGCTTTCATCATACGTAACTCTAGAGAGTGAACACAACTGCTAGTTTTAGTCACAGCGGGGCAAGCAAGTTTTTACTTAGTTGCTAATTGGAGCATTTTGTAGGACTATGAGATTGAGCTCTGCTCTAAGTTAACTGTGCTGATAGCAGTGGTTTGCAACTTGAGCTTGCAGCAAAATCACCTGCAGGTTTTGCTAAAGCACAGATTACTGGATCCTATGCCCAGAGTTTCTATTCAGAAGGTCTGGGGAAACTGTAGTTCTAACAAATCGCCAGGTGTTGGCAATGATGGTGGTCTGTAGACCACACTGTAGGAACCATGGGCTTGCACCGCTGCGGTGTCATCAGAGAGTAATTCACGGTGGGCAGCAACTTGAAGATACTTAGCTCCATGATTTTATTCTAATAAATGCAGTTAATTTCAACTCAATAAAACTTTACAGACATGACTGTGAGGACAGTATTTTGCATGCTATGAATGCCAAGAAGTAAAAGACAGCATTCTTGTCTTTGAGTAGCTTATTTAATTAGCAAGGCAATGGAATACGCCCTATGAGCACAAGACAGTAAGGAACCTGCCCAACCACGTTGGAAAGTCTCAAGAGTAAAGGACAGAGAGTTAAAGAGGTATAGTTATTCAAAGCCTTTGTATATCTGGTTGAAAGTGTTGAGGCATGGCCTTCTTGAGAAGGAACGTAGCATGAGCCTTGTGGTGCTGTGGGAAGTGGAATGTCACGCTCGTGTCAGGATGGTTTGGTGAGGCACAGAGTGGAAGCAGGAAGACCACACATGAGGCACCCAAGCCTCAGTATTTTTATTTTTTCCAATGGGAACAATGAAATGTACCTTTATGTTTGTTACGGGGATGAAACAGACTATGGATGTAAAGTAACAAGAATAAGGCCTCACACATATTAGGTAACTACCGTTACTATATTAAATAAAATAATGCATGCAGATCACCGATGCCCAGAACATATTTAAAACATGCTGGCTCCTTCCCTTCCACTTAAGAAGCCTTTATAATAAGTCATATGTGAAAAAGTGACAGATGTAGAAATGCAAAGGAGAGGTAGAATCCAGTGGATATCATGAAAAAATAAAACTGTCTTGGGAATAATATAATGTTTAAACAATGAAAGAACAATAGAGTATATTTTGATCTATTCATTTGGTAGACTATTAAAAATATATTTAAAATTATGATTTTAAAAAGCATGCAATAGCATGAGAGTGAGAAAAATCTGAATAAAAGCACTTTATGTAATGTGTGATCTCAGCTATGTAAAATATATTTTAAAAAAGGAAAAATGGGGGCTTCCCCGACGGCGCAGTGGTTGAGGGTCCGCCTGCCGATGCAGGGGGGCATGGGTTTGTGCCCCGGTCTGGGAGGATCCCACATGCCATGGAGCGGCTGGGCCCATGAGCCATGGCCGCTGAGCCTGCGTGTCCGGAGCCTGTGCTCCGCAACGGGAGAAGC